ACGCCCGCAGAGGCGACGCAGTGTAGGTGGCCCAGTCACCCCAGGCGGATCCTGTGAGTCCATCCTGGAAGAACCTCAAATGCACAACACCTTAAGACACTGCAGTCTGCTGCCCTGCATCAAAGGAGTCATCACAGCACGAAGCTGCATGATCCCAGCTGATCAAACCAATCCTTCCAATCATTCCAAACCCATACGACTCCCTTCGCACTGAAGCACGAGGCAACTTCACGGAAAGACAAATTCCTTCGAGGAACATGCCAATGATGGCCATCATGGCCAATCTTCCGTTTGCCAACTCTGCCGACAGCTTTTTGGTCTTCTCAGCAGGGTCCGAAGACGTCAGCACCTTGAAGCCATAGTCGCCGGGAGTGCCGCTCTTGTAGTCGTCGAAGCCGCCGCTGAACTCAACGAAGCCGAAGTAGGCAGCAATCTGGGCCCAACCTGCCACAGGGACCTTGGACACTGCCGCAAGGCCGTTGGGGATATCGGCGAACTTCAAGCCAGCGGACGGGGACAGGAATCCGGGCCTCAGCAACCCAGAAAACGCTGCTAGCTGCCAGCACGAACCGCGGTGACAACCGCACGCAAGGCTCACCTTCCCTCGTAATAGCTGAGGCTTCGACAGCTTGCCGGTGATCTCAGGGGTAATGTAACCTTCGAAGCACACTAAGCTCAAACATACGATAGAAATCATATTCTTGCCCTGTCCTGTTCTACATATACGATGAGAATGCTTTACTGCATTCTGCTGCTTCTTCAGTGCGACCTGACCTTGCATTGTTATCGATCTGTATCGACTATAGTCACTATACGAAGAACGAGTTTTCAATGGATAAACCTTCTTGCCGAGTCGAAGAACTTTCAGGGTCAGCATTCCATAAGTGCCGTCAAGTGGCCCATGGTCGCCATCATGGAGATGCGGCCGTGCTTCAGCTCCACGGATCGACGGCGCTTGAATGAGGCAACATCGCCATCGGAGGTGAAGCCGACGGGATCCCAGAATCCGACGGGGTCCTGCACGCCGAGCTCGCTCTCGAAAGCCTGCGGAGCTGGAGTGCAGCGCTTGAGATTGGGGTCGGTCTATCTACAAATGCCATTTGGTGCAGTATGCGTTCATCGTTAGTATGTAAGTAGTTGAACTGGTTTACTTACACTCGCTTGACAATCCGTTCATAGGTTGTGTGGATCGTTGCGAAAGAAACGGGGTTCAGCTTCGGTGGTGCTGGTGGTGGCGCTGGCGCTGATAAGTGAATTGTTTCCCCAACCACCACACAGCAGAGAACAACTGATTGGACCATCCACCATGGCAACAGCACGTGCTAGGGACAATTCCGAAAAACTTACCCTTCCTCGCCCGGCTGCACATCTACGCGCCATGAAAAATCGAGATTGTGTAGCATATCGCACGACCTGGCTTGCTGATGTTACGCATACGCAGGTATATACGATGCTTGCTGCAGGTGAAGTACATAATTTGCGGGGGGTGGTGAGTGAACTCCCTTCCGCGTTGATGAGCAAGCGGCTTCTTTTTCGAACACACAAGCTGGATATACGTTGGCGTTGGTCTTGTGCATGAAAGAAGGTGGTTGCTAGAGCCTCTTCGTCCCAATGGCAAAATCATCTTTACCCTTGTTGACGCCAACTACAGCTAGCTATCAGCAGGTGCAGGGCCCTGTTCGGGACATAGGCCTATCAAGCCCTTTATAAGGCAAAAACTTGCGCACCCACCGCCCTGCGCGATATCACAGGTTCAAGTCAACAGATGCAATGGCCGGGGTTGGGACCTAGGCTTGACAAACCAAAACAAACCCAAAACATCGGAGCAGCTCGCACCGCCACCATGCATTGATGTTTTCAATTGTTCTTTCCTTTCCTTTTATTTAACTAGGGCTTTTTACACCTTGGAAATTCATCACCCAAGAATTCCACCCATCCGCTACGCCCAAGAAGTACTGATAAGAAAACATAAAGGAATTCCTGAGCCTACGATTTACCCCTGGCTCCTTTACCTGGATTTACACTATACACCCGATCGAAACGTCCCCAGAATTGTAGATATGTGTATATGTGTATATGTACATATGTACATATGTACATATGTACATCTGTCAATATGTAAATATGTAAATATGTAAATATGTAAATATGTAAATAAACCCAAAACCAACCGGCCCCTAAACCCCGCAAGCCCTAAACCCCCGAAAACCCTGGGTCCTCCAAAGCCTCCAAAGCCCCGGAAGCCCCAAACCCTTGAACTCCTTGACCCTTCAACACCTAAACCCCCGAGCCCCCAAACCACTATTCCCGCAAACCTAAGCACCCCGAGTCCTAAACCCTTCAACCCGTAGACCCTTCAACGTAAGCCCTAATCGTCATGAAGGTTTAGGGTTTCTTCCTAAACCACAAGGGGTTTAAAGTTTGAAATTTTCCGCAACTATAGATTAAGGATTTGTTAAACCGAAAGGGGTGTCGAGGAAGCCCAGCGTGTTTAGGGTTTAAGGTTTTTCTTCCCAAGAGCTAGCACGCGTAAGAGCCACCAGGAAACCGAAGGCCCTTTGCCCTGAGCCCATTTGTTTTGCTGCGCTTTTCTATTATTGCCTGTGTAGTGTCCGGGCATATTGTGAGTCGTAGCAGATCGTAGCGATTTTGCGTCGGCGGCCCGGGGTCTCGTTGTCCAATCAGATTATAAAAGCCTCCTGTGGGCTGTAAGCTCTGCCGTGTTGCTGGTTTGTTTCGTCGCGCCCCAAAAACATTGATGTGTGTTGTCGACTTAGCACTTGGTCGCTGGGAGGGGTCCAACAGCACTTGGTGCAATTGGGGGCATGAACTAAATGATTACCGAAATTTTGCAAAAAACTGGCACGTGATTGGGGACATTGCCAGAAAAGGTGTTCAACCGATTCAACCACAACACTATCGAATGTATGCAATTTGGCGAGGCACAAGACTGTGTCTTAAAAAGTTTTTCCCTGGCACGCACTGCACCGGTCAAGATTGCACGCAAGTGATCTTGTGACGCTCACTGCGTCTTAACAGGGAGACGGTGGCATCATAAGCAATGACGCCTGCACCTTGCATGTCGAGCCCTTTAAGAGAAGCCCTGTCAGAAACCCAAACCATAGTTCGTAAAGCATGGCGAAGCTCATGTTTCCACTGCAATAAACCATCTTGAAACAAATGCAGACGCACCTTAGGCTCCGTTATAATGCAAAAGGGCTCGCACCAAGTGGCACGCAATTCGATGACAGCTTGACGTAATCGGCGCACAGGGGCCCACAAGTGCTTCACAACAGAGGCATCACGCCGGATAGCCTCCCAAGTAACCACAAAAGAGGCACGTAATCATGCCTCCTCGTCAATAACCGGCGAGCGACAGTGAAAGCTTGCCAAATCCAAGCTTGACGCGGATGCAGCAAGTGGCCAGGCGCAATAAGCGTACAAGTTGTCGCAACAGAACGACACCAGGTCTTACCCCGCCAAAGCACATTGGAGACGGCAGTTCGCAACTGAGTCTTTCGACCTTGGGTAGGGTCCTGCAGACCAGCGTCAAACACAGCACAAGGACGAGGAGAGGCGGCAGGCATGCGAAGCCGATGCTTAAGACGCACAGGGGCGTAACGAAAATTGCGAAGTCTAGAACTACCCGTGTCCACCCGTTTATGAAGCAACGCAGACTGCAAACCAACTTCAAGCTGGAAACTCCTTGCAAACGCAAGGGCTCAGAAACGCGCACCATGTCGTGCAGCTTGCCAGACTTAGCAGAAAGAACGACTTCTCGAAATTAGTCTCAGTGCCAGCTAAATAGGGCAACATATTATTGCAGCAAACTAGAGGCAAGCAAGTACAGGACACAGCAACGCCTGCATGAAACCAAAAACATGAATGCACGAGCCATAAGACGACTCGCAACTGACAGCGACCTGAGTGGCACATGCAAGATGCGCATGCGTGGGGCATCGCAGCAAGCTCGGGCTAAGGCAGGGTGCAGGGCCTAAGCCACAAAAGCTTGTACCAAAATGTCGCCACGAGTCCGGATGCTGAGCGCCACGCATAACACACCTAAGCGAGTCATCAGCGCCCGCAGAAACCGCAAAGATATGGCCAGGTTTTTGGCGGGCCGAACGTTGTGTTCACGAACAAGCGCAGCATGCTTAGCCACAAAAACACTGCTCCTGGTAGAACCTGGCTTACGATCTACACCTTTATCAGCTGCCACACGACTGCGAGAGAAATCTGGCAACGTTGTTGCCAGTGGCACCACATTGCTCGCATCTCAGACGCACGGAGGCATCAAATGGAGCAACTATGTGCTTTCCGTGATCGGCCGCATCCCTGTTGCGCAGCAAGCGCTGCTCGATCCTCTGCTTCTGACGCCAGTCCGGGGCCTCGTCGAGCTCAGCCTGTTGTTCAGCCGTCCACCGCACACCGAGCGTGGCAGTCTTGTGAGACGGCCGAGCCCCAACTCCCTGAGCGAGGGAACATGCTCGGCAAAGCGACTGGTGTCAAAAATCAGTGAACACTTGCAGATTTTGCTCATACGACGGCTGGCAGCCGCAAAAGTTCTTGACCGGCTTTGCAGGGAAGCAGTGGCATCATCTCTTCCGGGAGCTGCAAGGCTGACATGTGTGGCGAGCAGGAAATCCAAACACAGCTTTGCGAAAGTGACGGTCTTGATCACACTGTTGTGCGACCGATGGGATTCCATGAAGCGAGGGGCTCGATGCATGTCATGCCCGTGAACAACGCAAGCCATGAACTTCAAAAGTCAAACGGCTGGGCCCTCCTAAACCCCCAAGTCCCAAAACCCCGAAGCCCTGAGCCCGTCAACTCCTAGATCCTTCAACACCTAAACCTCCGAGTCCCCAAACCCTTAAACCCCTAAGCCCCCAAAAACCCTGGGTCCTCCAAAACCTCGAAATCCCCTAAACCCGCAGCCCCGGAAGCCCTAAGCCCTTGAACTCCTTGACCCGTCAACACCTAAACCCCCGAGTCCCCAAACCGCTCTTCCCTTAAACCTAAACACACCAAGTCCTAAGCTCTTCAACTCGTAGAGCCTTCAACGCCTAAACCCCATAAGCCCTAGGTTTTAGGGCTTCTTCCGAAACCACCAGGGATCTTTTAACTTTGAGGGTTTAGGGTTTTTTGTTTCCGCAACTACAAGTTAAGGTTTTGTTAAACCGAAAGGGGTGTCGAGGAAGTCCAACGTGTTTAGGGTTTAAGGCTTTTCTTCCCAAGAGCTAGCACGCGTAAAAGCACCAGGAAGCCGTTTGTTTTGTTGTACTTCTATTATTGCCTGTGTAATGTCCAGGCACATGTGAGTCGTGGCAGATCGTAGCGATCTTGCGTCGGCGGCCCGGGGTCTCGTTGACCAACAAGAATAAGTAAAGCCTCTCCATGGCTGTAAGCTTTGCGGTGTTGTTGGTTTGTTTCGTCGCGCCCAAGACATTGATCTGTGTTGTCGAAGCTTGTGGAGGGAGTTGAGCTGTGGGATACGTAACGGTGTTTTCGTCCGTGCCCTCTCCCAGTCGCAACGTGTATGCTTGGACAATTTGTGTGTGGCAAGCTGATATGTGTTGTGGAAGTGTCGTAAACACTCCTGAGGACTGGACGGACTCCACGCGCGCCTTGGGATGCCTTTATCTGGGACCTCTTAGAGGGGACCCCACGCGCGCCTTGGGATGCCTCTCCCTGGAGCCTCTTAGAGGACTGGCTGGACCCCACGCGCGCCTTGGGATGCCTCTCTGGAGCCTTGAGACTGGAGGGACCCCACGCGCGCCTTGGGATGCCTGCCTGGAGCCTCTCTGGAGCCTTGTAGAGGACTGGCGGGACCCCACGCGCGCCTTGGGATGCCACTCTGGAGCCTCTTGGCGGGACTCTTGGGATGCCTCCTGGAGTCTGGAGCCTCGTAGAGGACCGGCGAGACCCCACACGCACATTGGGATGCTACTCTGGATTTTCTGGAGCCTCGTAGAGGACTGGCCGGACCCCACGCGCGCCTTGGGATGCCTCTCTGGAGCCTCTTAGAGGACTGGAGAGACCTC